GACCCCCACGATGCCCTCCACAGGCTTGGTGGCTGTAGCCTGGGTGGAGATGGAGGGGGTGGTGCTGCTGTGTGAGGCGCTAGATGCCAATGAGCTGTGGAAATGCCCTTTGGGTAGAGCTGGAGAAGCGGGGCCTGGCCTGGCAGAGTTGGCAGTCTTAGCAGGAGCAGCACAGGCAGGCTGGCTGTGCTTTATCTTAAACCGGACTCTCCGTTTCGTGCGGGGGAAGGTGGCCTTGGTTGCTTGGACTTTGTTAGAGACCTGCAGGTGGGGAACAGTGGGAAATTGGGCGTCAGGGGCCTGGACTGCGGGGGACTGGGCAACAGGGGCCATGGCAGCGGCTGGAGCACTGGAATGAGGAGGCAGCCGCTCCTCCCTGGCTTTCTTGGCCAGCCTCCCTCCAGGCAGGAAGAGGGAGGCAAGACCTGACCTCTTGCCCAGCTGGGCCCCGGCCCGCGTGGAAGCAAAGCGACAGGAGAGGCCGTTCTGGCCAGAGCCAGGCTTGCCAGCAGCCCTCCCGCTTGCCATGGACCTCCCAGAAGAGGGGTGCCATTGCTCTTGTGAGGGCTGACGGGAGCCCTGGGCAGCGAGGGCCCCCTTGAAGGACTCAGAGCTCAATACCTGAGACGGCTTCGGGGGCTTGGGCGATGTTTCTCCATCCCCGTCGCCTGTCCTGGCGCTGTCTCTTGCGCTGTGGATCAGAGTCGGAGTCCTGGTGGTCTGCAGCCATGGTCTTGGTCTTCCTGTCTTGGAGCACCTCAGTGAGTGTCTGGTGGTCCCCCGAGTGCGGGTGGCTGCTGGAGGGCGCAGACTGTGCGCAGGAGTCGGTGGTGTGCGCCTGCGCTGGGGGAGGCGCAGGTGCGCTGTGCTGAGCGGGCATCCTCGGGGTCAGCGCGCTGCACAGTCTCCTGCTGAGCGTCTGCAGGGGAGGCTGGTTCCAGCACACAGCAGCCAGCGGCCCCAGCAGGGCACGGCGGGCCTGCTGCAGCAGATAGCGTCTCCGAGGCGAGCTGAGCACACGCCTGGGCCAAGCCGCAGGATGCCCGCGGGATGGCCTCTTGCCGGCTCTCAGAAGAGAGATGGGCGCCCAGGAGGACAGCAGGGGGATGCTCTTGGAGGCCGAGGGCTCCTGAGGGCCAGCAGGTGCGTGACGCTCAGTGCCGTCCTGGGACGGGCTGTCCGCGGGCAGGGACAGGCCAGTCTTGTCCAGATAGGCGCCCATGGAGCCCGTTCAGAGGCGTTGGAGCTCTGTGATCAGACTCCTTGGCTCTGGGATTTCGTTTTCCCGCCAACTCGGTGAGTCGCAGGCAAATCGAATGAGCAACGTTCACCAATGCCGCGAGCCACCAATGACGTTCAAGTGCGTGAGCGCTGGAGCATGGACAGCGCATGCGCCCTGGGGCTTGGGCCTCTCCCAGCAGACCCAGTGGCCTCCAGCCTCACCGGGCAACGCAGGACAACCAGCTAGGGCAGTGCAAAAAGTGAGTACCAGGTACAGCACCAGGAACAGCAGTATTTGTGCAGTTTCAGGCATAGAGCCAAGTACAGGACGAGGGCTCGATTTATTCAACGTGATTATGCAGTCATGCTTTATGTTTTTGATACTATGTTCTGCCTGGATGTAAGGAAATACTAGCCCTTTCCTGTCCTTTTATTTTATTTATTTGTCATCAGTGATACATATTACAATCTGACTTGGTGCTTATTCATTCATAGAAGTACTTTCTACTTTTTCTATCCTCATGGAAAGTTTTTCTAGGCTGACAGAACTGTGTTTAATTACACACAAGGACATAAACCCGTGGTGGTAGTCTAAAGCATACTTTCCACCACAGAAGGACTGATAGAAGGAAATAGTGAAAAGGCAGATGGAATAGCAGCAGTAGACACCTAGCTGAAGGCTTCAGCTTCCACACATGAGTGGTTTCTCTAAAACCTTCCATTAAAGTTCAGCACTTCTCAAGTGGAAAAGAAGGTAAGACCTTCCTATGCACTGTTCAACAGCAATGCACTATATGACAGAGACAGATACTGGTGCAGAACAGAGAAATCAAAGGATAACTTGTAGAAACAGTAAACCTGAGACAGTTGGGTCTGCGCATTGTAGTGCATGCCCAGGTATTTAGGAAGAATCAGTAGGAGGGTGATGGTTCAAGGCCAGACTAGGCAAAAGTGTGAGATGTACTGACAGATTTCAATTTATTTTTTGATTAGTTTTTCCCATACTCTTTCAGTTTGATAATATACACTGTAGGAGAAAAATCTGTAAAAAGGTATTGGTTTTATCATTTTTAAAGTTTTCACTTTCACCGTGCCATTAATTTTATAAATGAGAAATAATAGGATAGGCTAAAACGGTAGAGTACTTGCCTAGTAAGCCCAAGTTTGCATGTTCAATTCCTGAAGCAAGAAAATATACATTCATATATATATAAATATATATATGTATATAGGTGTATATAATATATGGAGACAATAAAAATTCATTTATTTCCAGGTAAATCACATGACATGATCACTAGAAATGGAGACATTTCATATAGTTTAAACAGTTTCCCAGGAACACACAATAGAACAGATCCAAAGATTTATAATTCAGGACGGATAACTAGAAAGAATTAAAATATAAGCAAAATCATGATGAGTAGGAAATTGTAATAGTTCATTTTTCATTGTTATACCGGTTCAATGTGAATAAATAACAGATATAGACAGTCCCTGACTTACCATGCTTTAAATGTTCATTGATAGGTCTTAATTCTAAATTAGACCATATTGTTCAGATGGCTAGGAGTACTATGGGAACATTTGATCTAGGTTTTCATTAATAACGAGTTTATTGGATTGTAACTCCATTACAAGTTGAACAGCATCTCTACTTATTTTTTTAAAAGTAGAATTAATCATCGTTGATCTGAAGTTCAAGTTTAACTGGACTTTCCTCTTTTCTTTCCTTCTTAGGAAGACAAACAATACTCTTCTAAAAACATTGGCTATTCTCATTCAAGCAGAGCTCAGGAATCAGCATAGAGCAAAGTGGTCTGTTATGACTCAGCAGTCTTCCTGATAACATATTATAAGTCACAGAGAAGCCGTAGAGAATGGGGCATTGTGAACATTGTCTTTTTATTAAATATTTATCATGATATACATACAAATACGTATAAATGTAGGAAAATCCCCTTTTAGAAAACAGAGAGCACTGAGAACATGTGAGAACATTTGAGAACACAGGCCCAGGTTAGGTTTTCAAGGCTGCCCAAGGGAGTGGAAGATCAAGTTTTGTTTTTCTGGTACATGAATCATGTGAACATTTTCACAGAGCAGTAATATTTCTATTGACAAAATAAAATAAATCATAGGGAAAAAGTAAAACCAAAATAACAAAACCTACTAAGTAGAGTGTAAACAATTCTAGATTATGCAAGAGAGACTTATCTCAGCCACAACTTATGATGTTTAAATCTCTGTCCTTACGCACAGATTTTATGAAGTAGTGTATAAATCCTTTCACAGCACAATTCAACTAAACAATCTCGTTAGCCCACAAAAGTATCATCTTCATGTTTCATTTCCTTAACAAAATAGAAGTCAAGAATTTAGGTAGTCTGTAAAAAGTAAAAAAATTTGGGGCAGGGAATATTTATGTAAACTTGTTCTGATATGCACATATATTTAGAAGTATAACACTTTCTGAGAGAAATAAATGCAATCTACTTTGGATCCACATAACTCTGGTTACTTGGTTATAAAAAAAAACAAGGCATAGTCAGGTCAATATTTGAGGTTTTATAATATAGTATCTATTACATACATACTCAGTCATGACAAGCCAATGAATAAATTGGAGATACCAGAATAAAAGCATAATTTCAAACTTCATAACGGAAGACACATAAGATCCTTTGATGTTTTTGGCCATTTACCTGAAAAAGAATTGCTTGAAAATTCAGTTTGCTTCTATCAATAATTATTTGGCACCATGATAGGTGTTGTACATACTCTGGCAGTGTTAGAATGATTGATAAGACACCATCCCCACAATAGTAGGGAATAGAGTTGGTAAATTTGCCTCCACCAAACTCAGGAGGCTGAGGTCTAAGAATTGAGATTTGAAGCTGACCAGGATAGTAAAGTCCATGGAATTCTTATCTCCAATTAACCATCTAAAAGCTGGAAGTGGAGGTGTGGCTCAAGTTGTAGAGTGCCAGCTTTGAGCAAAACAACTAGGTAAGATCACAAGGCTCTAAAATGGAGAGAATCCTGAGCTTTTCAAAAAATTAACTATTATTCTTGTGACAAGTAAGATATGAATCATTTTAAGGCCAGCATATAATAAACATCTCGTGTATACATGCACAATGTACATTCTTACTATTTTAGTGCTTCAAAATTTACCACATCTCACACAAATGAAAGAGTTTCAGTCTTAAAGGAAACACACAAGGAAAGTGGTAGCGCAGACTCTCCATGTGATTTTGTATAAATGGGTTATGTATCTGCTTAGGGCAGGAATGTGGAACTTCTGTGTTAAATGTTAGCAGGGTGTGGAGAGAAATCCTGTTTCCTGGGTTGGCAAATGAACTGGATACTGCATGTCAGTTGAGCAAATTCCCAGAAGTCAGATGTCTCTGTGTTTGGGGATTATTGTCTGTACAACTTGCTACAAACAAGCCCTTTAGAAACAACATCACCCTGTTTTCACTGTATTTGATGTTGGTATAATTTGTAGAGGGGAAGGGAAAAAACAAAACAAATTGTTTAAATAGGGGTATAGGTTGACTCATTGCAACAATTAGATAGATGTACAAGACGTTATGTCAAAAAATAAACTTTACAACTTTGGCCATGAAGGGGAGGGTAGGGGGAAGGGGGGTCTAGATAGGAAGGGATGAGAAGGGGAAACAAAGGAGGAGGCAACAATTCTTGATTAGAAATGTACTCATTACCTTGCCCATATAATTGTAATCCCTCTGTTTGGTATTTTCACAATTAAAAAAAAAGAAACAACATCATCTGTCTGTCTTCAGGGTATCAAGAAGCCTTTTTCAAATATACCAATGGGAGCTGAGACAGTGTGGCTCTGTGCAGATCAATGACTGAGAAGAGGTTCAAGTTTAATTATCTCTTGTCTACAGATCTGCAGGTTTCCTGAAAGGTCAGGAACATGGACAACATTCAGCCAGTCACTGCTAGTTACATTCTGGGTGAGTCTGTGACTGAATGCTATTTAGGACTAAGAGTGTTGCACAGTGCTGTGCTTGGTGACTCTGGAAGAAGCTGTGGTCATGGTAGAGTTAAAATTACCAGATTCTACAAAAGCAGAAGTGCTTGGGACTCCAGTTGCAGAAACCACAGTGTTTCTAACTTTTATGGAGGCTTCCGTGGGCATCTGGCAACTGGAGTGCAGCACAGCAGCAGGGGTTAGCACTCTTTCTGTCACCATCACATTCTGCCTGTTGGGTGTGGTTACAGTGGGTTGTACCCCTGAACTGGGAGTAAGGATGCTCTCTCTCTCCCTTACCATAACATAATGAGCATCTTGAAGATGCTGGGTGGCTTCCAGAGGGTTCTGGACACCTGCATTGGGCTGGATCACTCTTTCTGTAACCACAACATTCCCTTCATTAGCATAATGGTGATCTACCATGGTGGAGGCTGGGGCATAGACCCTCTCTGTCACAATAAGGCTCTGAGGTTGTCCTGGACCCAGGATCACGGTGCCTGTTGGCAGAGTAGAGCTTGTGGCATAGGAAGATCCTGCCATTATGATATTCCCAGAAGCCCTGGGGTCAGGAAGAGGTGGCACTATCTTTTGACTCTGCCTGGAAGACACAGATGTTTCAGTGACTGTCTCCTGAGTTACTTTCTCTGTGTGTGCTCCATGCATAGGTTTTGGGACTTGAAAGCTGCTGCTAGAGGAGTAGCTATTTTCTGAATTAACCAGGGTTTGCTCATGCTGTGCTCGGGAAGCTGTGCTCCTGTTTGTTTCTTTAATGGGGATTTTCTTCTGCTCCATTTCCATATCCATATCTATTTTTTGGCCTAAGCAGACTTCAGCCAGTGTCTTGAATTTAAGTCCCAAGTCATCTAAGAAATGGTCCTCTAGCTCTCCTTCAATAAAACTGCAACAGCCAATGGAGCCCCGTAGAGAATCTGTATCTTCCTGTGAATAAACCAGCAGGCAATCTTTGGCCATGTGACTGTCATCATTGTCAGTGTAGGAGGCTGCTTTCTAAAATGAAAATACAAAGAGAGACAAATAATTACTGATACCAGTTCTCTTAAAACCATGACACTTAGCCTGGGATATAGCTCATTAAAGCATTTGCCAAGTAACTACAATGCCTTGGGTTCAATTTCCAGTAGTATAAAAGAAAGGACAAAAAATAATTTAAAAACATAAACAACAGCAAGAGAAACCCTTACAAAAACAAGATATTTTAATAATATTCCTATTTAAGCTGTTTGCTTTTGACTCATGCCTATATTCCTAACTACTCAGAAGACTGAGATGTGAGGATTGCAGTTGAAAGCCAGCCCAGGCAGGAAAGTCTGAGAGACTCTGATCTCCAATTAATCACTAGAAAACTGGAAGTGGAGCTGTGGCTCAAAGTGGTAGAGCAGTAGACTGGAGCAAAAGAGCTCAGTGACAGTGCCCAGGTCCTGAGTTCAAGCCCCATGACTGACAAAAATTAAATATATAAATAAAAAATTCCTATTCAAAATGTGATACCTGAGGCCTTATAATTACAAGAAAGCATAAGAAAACTATCAACTGAGACATAGTCTACATTATACCTAGCGTGTATTTGTTAAAAAAGAAATTAATAGGGGCTAGGAAGGTGGCTCAGTGGTAGAGTGCTTGCCTTGCATGCATGAGGCCCTGGGTTAGATTCCTCAGCACCACATAAGCAAAAAGTAAAAAAGCTGGAAGTGGCGCTGTGGCTCAAGTGGTAGAGCGCTAGCCTTGAGCTGAAGAGCTGAGGGAGCACCCAGGCCCAGAGTTCAGGCTCCACGACCGGACCCCCGCCCTCCCCCCCAAAAAAAGAAATTAACATCATGAGGCAGGTGGGATGGCTTTTGTGTATAACCCCAGGTGCTTGGGAGATGTAAATCAGGAGAATCAAAATTTGAGGCTAGCCCGGGGAAAATGTCAATAAGATTCCTTCACAACAAGTCATCTGGGCTATGTATAGTGGGTATGTGGGTCTTGGTCTAGGCAACCCAAGACCCTATCTAAAAAAAAGCAAACGTAAAAATTGAAAAGGAAATCCAGGCATAGCTGAAATAGCAGAACACTTACCAAGCAATTGGACCATGAGAAAAAAACCCATAAAGTTAGTGTACAATCAAACTACCTGTACACATGCATGTGTCACAATGAAATCTATTATTTTTATACAGAATAGAAGCTAATAAAAATGAAGAAGGGAAGAAGGGGCTTTTACGGTGAAGGAAAATAAATGAGCATGACAAGTAAATCTAATAAAGTGTAATGACAGGGTCATGGATAGAAATAGCATTCTATAATTGGCAAATTCAAATCTAGTTTGTGTCAATTTTAAGTTTCTAAATTTCTGGATGGTACTATATGGTACTATAGATTATTGTGTGAATCTTTGCAGATGTGAATGTGTGCATGCATATGAACATGTAAGCATATATGCATCTGCATGAATGTATAGATAGGTGTGTGCATGCCATATATTTATTATGTGTGTTTATGTACACCTACGCACATGTGTGCATGTGGTATGTGTAAGAGACTGGAAGACTAAATGGCAGATGTAGAGAAATACTAAAAATCAGGTGATATCTAGATAGACTCTTCATGAGTTCAAAATTTCTATCTTTGAATGTTTTCTGACAAATTCTTTATGGGTGGTAGTAAGGCTTGATTTGCACTTTTCTGATACATTTGAATTATTTCCCAATCAAAAGCTAGCAATATCTGCATAACCAAGATTTACTGGAGCAGGATTAGAGTGGACAAGGAAAATATATCCCCCTTCCCCAATATATAAACAGTTATTCTTACATCAGTGAAATAATTCCTTAAGAATTCCTCATTCACTGCACCAACAGCTGCCCGAGCTCCAGCCATGTCCCTGGAGGCCCCTGTGGCTCCTGAGGTCCTCAGAGTTTCTTGGCCTACAAAGGCTCCTGTAGTCCCTGTGACTTGGGTTGCTGCACCAGTCAGGAGGCTTCGGTGTTCTTCCCATCGTCCATCCACATCAGACAACTCATGCTGCCCTTTGGTAAAAGAAGCAGAGCTGCTTCCTTTCATGATGGCCTCCTTGGTGATTGTGCCTCCGACTCCATTTCTTAATGCTGTGTTCTCCTCGTGATCCACGGCCAGAAGTGCTGGTATCACCTGTGAGTGAACACAGATAAACACAGAACCAAAGAATGGAGGGCCTGTACACTGAGGGGAGGACCTGAGCTTAAGAAGGGATGAGCTATTTCCCCTGAAGCAAGTTAGGAAACAAAATCCATGTTTGTTTTAATGTGAATCAGATTTACTATTCAGAACCTATATAAACAAGAAAAAACAAAAATAAAATTCAATGTGTTATTAACTTAACAGCTGTACTGATTAATTATGGATGTACAGGCAAAAGAATTATATTAAATGTTCAGATTCTTGCAAGAAAATTGTCTTATTCACTTTATGGCAACAAAATATGGCCAGAAGTGATCAATTCATTTAGAAAAAGCATTTTGAAGCTGGGTGCTGGTGTTTCTTGCCTCTAATCCTAACTACTCAGGAGGCTGACACCTAAAATCAGGGTTGGAACAAAGCCTGAGCAGACCAACCTGTGAGAGTCTCCTTTCCAATTAACTAGCAAAAAGCAGGAAAAGCGGAGTTGGCTTAAGTGATGGCGTTCTAACCTTGGTTGAGAAAGCCTTGTGAGAGTACAAGGCTATAAATTCAAGCATCAGTAGATATACACAGGCACATAGACATACACACTTTATAGGACTCCTTGTTTTCAGTGGTAGCCATGAGCAGTTCAGGAGCCAGTGGCTCACGCTGGAATTCTAGCTACTTAGGAGGCTGAGATATGAGGATCAAGGGTCAATGCTTGCCTGGACAGGAAAGTCTTTGAGACTGGTCTCCAATTCACCACCCATAAGTCAGAAATGTAACTTTGGCTCAAGTTGCAGAGTACTAGCCTTGAGCAAAAAAGCTCAGAAACAGTGCACAGGCTCTGAGTTCAAGCTCTGAGACCAGCACACACACACACAAAAGTAAAGAACATATTTGTAAGCCTCAGTTGGTACTGGCCATAGCCTCTTAGGTCCCGATTGGTGCGAATCAAGCAGAAGTAATAAAAACAACTTGTAGAAAATATTCTTAGTGAGCAGTTCACTCATCTTTGAGTTGCGAGTTGGAGTGTGAGGGGCCAAACATGAGTGTGCAGTGTGGGAAAGAGACTCATCCTTCGAGGAGCAACAAGAAGGGAGGGGTACTTCAAAAGGAATGGAAATCGAGTAGTTTATGGTAGTGATCGAAAGTGCATTTTAACAGTGGCACAAAAATCCCATCCTAATTTCCTATACATGTTTGTTTGCCCTGACCCTTCTCTCCATTCTCTGGGTCATATCCTGATAGTTGTTTTCCCTACTAATTAACAACGGACTGTCACCCCGCAGGAACACTGTATCAACTCTGTTCTGGTCAGTAAGACAAAATATGTTGTCACTCGAGCCCTTTGATTAAGAAAGGCCTGGACAGAGTTCTGAAATGTGTACTGTTGAAAATGAAGGCCTCCTTTGCTCTCTGATCTCACAGCAAAATAATCAGCATAGCATCCTGAGAGCTCCCAATGTGTGGGATTTCTCTCTGGTAGCAAGTGTGAAACCAATTCTGCAGCAGACATGGCTGGATTGTCTTCTAAGTCAATTCCATCATGACCCTATGACCCTGGAGCTAGTGTGACTTCTCCCAGGTTGAGGGGTCAGTCTCCAAGACACTGCCACTTTGGAAATTCCAGGGATTTTAGGTCAATGGTGATGAATACCAAATAGACATGTCACAATGTCACCTCTGCATTATTCTCTCATGGCCAAAAGGACCTCCTAAGGCCTCTGAATTTAAAACCAGGAAATAGATGACATTTGTATGTGATGAACTGACCTTGTCTTCTGGGGGTGCCCCCTCATTATTCCAAGGGTGAAGCATCTCTATAGTGCCAGGGATGGGGGTGAAGCCTTTGGCACCCTCTCCACAATGGCATACCAGCAGCAGAAGTGGCACAACTGTATGGCATCAAGATTGGGAAGATGGTTAGTCCTGGTTAAATTCTACACTTAAGTCACCATTTCATTTTATTTATTATTTTTTCTTGGTCAGTCATGGGGCTTGAACTCAGGACCTGGGCACTGCCCCTGACCTTTTGTGCTCAAGGCTCTATCATTTTGAGTCACAGCTCCGCTTCTGCTTTTCTGGTGGTTAACTGGAAATAACAGTCTCACGGACTTTCCTGCCAGGGTGGCTTCAAACCACATTTCTCAGGTCTCAGTCTCCTGAGCAGGTAGGATTACAGGCATGAGCCACCAGTGCCAGCGTATGTCACCTTTTTAGAATTTGCTATCATATACTGAAGTTTAGTCTTCACTGATGGGCAGCCCTATTGTCTTATTTTTCTTTTCTTGACTCTGAATCATCAGTCAGTAGCTCCAAAGCACAATGCCAGAGGAGGGAGTCATTTCCATCTCCCAAAGACTATCTGTGCTTACTAGTTAGAACACTACACAGCACCCATTATAGCAAACCCAATTCAAAGACTGAAATTTTTTAAGCAACTGTTCAAAAAAAGTTTTGTGAATGTGCTGTCCCCAAAAGATCACAATTTTAAAGATCAAAGGCTTTTGACAATATAAAAAGTCAATTTCTTTCTTTCTTATGTTGTAGGAGGATTTTAAATATGTATTTTCTTTTTTTATTGTTATTGTAGAGGTGATGTATACAGGGGTTACAGTTACATAAGCCAGGTAATGAGTCCCTTTTGAATAGTGTCACCTCTTCCTTCATTTTCTCCCAGTTTTTCCCTCCCACCCCTTCTCCCCCACCAGTTGTATATAATTCAATAATCTAGAACACTGGAATTTTTGTAACACCATACATTAGAGCAGAATTCTGTATGAGGCCTGATTTTCTGAGGTCTCGAGTTACTCACGAATTATCGAAATACTAGTTTCTAAAATCCACTAAAAGCTCTTCGAAATATACACATGCACACACACTTTGAAGAAACAAATGAGCAGGTGTGGTGGCTCCTCCTCCCTGGATTGTAATTCCATGGCAGCCCAGTCAAAAAGTTTATAGGGCCCCATCTCAACCAATACAAGGTTGGGCACTGTGGCATCCCACACATACAGGAAGCATAAAGCAAATGATGGTGGTCCAGGCTGGTGTGGGCCAAAAGTGAGACCCTATCTCAAAAATTCCAAGCAAAAAGATCTGTGGCGATGCTGAGATGATAGATTACCTGGCTAGCAAGTACAAGGTTCTGAGTTCAAAGCCCACTACCATTAGTAACTGAATTAATGAATGTGTATAGAGTAAAAAATCACTAATAGGACACTCAAAGTGCTAAAAGGACACTCAAAGTGGCTTGGAAGACTTACGTAGCAGGAGCAAAAGGGCCAAAATCATGAGTGCAATGGCTGCCGCTCCCAGGCCAAAGTGGCTGTCGTGCTGGGCTTCCACACAGCCGCTGCCGTGAAGGCACTCACACACCGTGACGGTAAGGATCTGCTTTTCAGGACAGCTGTGGCCCTGGTTGTCTGAAATCAGGAACTGAATGTCACTTCTCCCCAGCTCTTGCTGGGACTGCTGCAGCAGCACACTGGTACCTGCAAGGGGGAGGAAGCAGCAGGAAACAAACCCGAATGATGATCCAGAGAGGGAGGAAAGCCCGTGACAGGAATCAGGAATGGTCTTTAGGCTGCTCCAGGTAGATGCTCCACTGCTCCTGTACTTTGTGTAATGCATAATGTGTGACCACTAGAATCTGCCCGGAGACTTGAGGAGCTCTTCTGGAGACTTATTGTGTCCCAAATGAGTGTGGTTTACACACATTCCAGGAACTTAGGTGTGAGTTGGCAACTTGTACTTTAGATAGGAAGCGTGATCTGGGAGCTTATTGGGGAGAGAGGAGGAGGGGGACTGCTTTCCATATCCTTTCATTCCCTGTGGCCCAGCCTAGGGGACAGCACCCCTCATCTGCAGGGCAGATCTCTTCTCTGGCAACTCCCCACAGCTAGAGGTGCTTTACTAATCTGGGCGCTTCTGAATCCAATCAAGTCAACATTCACCAGCATTGACCTTTAAAAGATCTGGTGCTGGTAATCACAGCTCTCAGGAGGCTGAGATCTGAGGATCGCAGTTTAAACCAACCTCAGGCAGGAAAGTCTGTGAGACTCGTCAATAAAGCACAAAAAGCTGAAAGTGGGGCTGTGGCTTAGGTGGTACAGTGATAGCTTTGTGAATAAAAAGGTCAGGAATAGGTCCCAGGTTCTGAGTTCAAGCTGTAGTATCAGCAAGAAAAAAAAGCGAGGGAAGATCTGCAATAAAGCATATGGAATAGTTAAGCAGACTAGGAATACAGTACTTCTGTGTGTGTGTGTGTGTGTGTGTGTGTGTGTGTGTGTGTGTACTTATGTTTAGGGATTTCTTTATATTTTTTATATTAAAGAATTTTTAGGAAAATTAGCCCATGAGCACAACAGCTTAGCAACTCCCATTGAAAATGTAGCCTGTGTTACTGAGTTACCTGTGATTTCAGGCTGAATTATCACTACCCATTTCAATATTAAAATATTAAAAAACATTCTAGGTGCATTGTATTTTTTAGCTCAAGTTGAAAAGAGAACTAGTATTTTAGAGTATAATGAACAAGGGAAGTACTTACTTTTTAATAGAGATAACTGGACTACATAAAAAAGAAAAGCAAGGCAGTTTAGATATTGAGCTAAAATATTGGATCCAACATTTGGAATGATCCTTTAGAAATCATTTTAAAAATCATTTGCCAGACTTAAAATTCCATAATAAACTTATAAATTAAGAAAAACGTGGAAACGATGTTTGAAGCTTTCTTAAAATACACTCAATTGTTTAAAACAGAATAGTCTTCTGGGCAGGCTTTCCAAGAATGCCCTGTGCCAGGGAGGAAAGCGCACTTCCGTAATTTTAGAATTAGGAGACTGTAGTTCAAGGCCAGGCTAGTCAAAAGTTATTAAGACACTCTCTCAACAAGTAAATTAGATACTGTGGGATAAGCTTATAATCCCAGCAACACAGGAGGCATAGGTATGAGGATCAAAGCCTGAGGGTGGCCCTAGACAAAAGCACAAGATCCATACCTTTAAAAAAATCTTCTTTCTCATTGCCTTGTAACCTTTAACAAACTGCTTAATGCTTAGTGAGTCAAAGTCTGTACTTGTAATCAGGAAATAATATCATACAGAGTACGGATGTATGATAATGAATACAGTGTGCTTGGACAGGGTAAATGCTCAATAAATGTTATTGAAGTGAAATTATTGTTGGCACATTTAAGAATCTAGCAAGCACCTATTGTGAGTGTGGTACTTAGGAGGGTGTGGACTGCCACAGTTCAGAATGCAAAATTATTCCAGAGCTATTTGAAGACTATCCTGCCACCCTTTGTGTGTGTGTGTGTGTGTGTGTGTGTGTGTGTATGCACACACCTGCACGTAGGCTGTTCTGGGGCTTGAATTCAGGGCCTAGGTGCTGTTTCTAAGTTTTTTCACTCAAGGTTGGAGTTTTACCATTTGAACAAAACTCTACTGGTGGCTTTTCTGGGGTGGTTAATTTGAGTTCAGGGTCTTTTAAGTTTGTCTGCCTAAGCTTGCTTTGAATTATGATCCTTAGATCTCAGCCTCCTAAGTAAATATGATTACTAGCACCTAGCCCTGCTACCATTTATATTGTTCCAGATAATTTATCTTCTCAAAGATACTGTTATGCACAATGTATATAGTTAATGTAATTTTATAAATGCCCTTAAAAAGTGGTATTGGAAAAACAATTGAGGGAAAACGCAAGCTACAGGACAAAAGCTTGCAGCTATCTGGATTCTAATGTAGCCTAAGAGTTCTGCTTACTTTCATGGTGGATTATTTTCCATTTTTCTGTGGTTCCAGGTGGAATGTCAATGATGGAGAAGCTGAAAGGCGCACTGTTAGGGTAGCCATCCAGGTCCAGCGCTGTCACGTTCACCTGGGCCGCGTCTACGCACATGCTCTGTACGGGCTCTACCAGTGTGGGGCAATTGTCATTGATGTCCTCAACTGTGATAATGACCGTGCCAGTGATGGTTTGGCTAGGTTGATCTTAAAAACATAAGCAGGAGAAAATCTATACTCAACAACAGACAGACACAGTGTGAATTCTCTTACAGAGTTGGGAAGGTCAGTGCAGTAACCACTTAACTACACTTGCTGGTCTAGACAGGTCTCAGGTTAGACCAAATCATACCTCTCATGTCACTAAAGAAGACAAAGCAGCTGGGTTGCCAGCATCTCACACATGTTTATATTCCTAGCTACTCAGAAGGCTGAGATCATGGTTTGAAGACAGCCCTGGCAAGAAAATCTATGAGAGTCTTATCTCCAGTTAATCACCAGAAAACTGGAAGGGATACCTTGGCTCAAAGTGGTAGAGCACTAGCCTTGAGTAAAAATTGCTCAGGGACAGTGCCCAGGTCCTGAGTTCAAGTCCTATGACTGACCAAAAAACAAAACAAACAAAAATAATTGAAACATAAAGGCTCATCAATTGGAAGGATCTTTATATTCATTCAAAGCCTGTCTGTGGCTGGAAGACAAAAACCAAAATGCCTATAGATCAGAAAAAAGCCTACTTATTTAATATCTTACCTTCAGAGATAGCCACAACCTTTACAGTGTATGTGCCGTTTTGCACGTATCTTGATTCAAAATCGGGAACTTTTATGAGTTTAATTTCTGATGTGACAGAATCCACAGAGACCCAATTGTCTTTATCTTCCAATTTCTTGTATCTGTTATAAAACAAACAGAAACTGGCTTAAATTCTGGATACACAAGGGATCATTCACATTGAAGGCTTAACTTTCTACCCCAGTATCTCTGTTCATGTTCCAGGATTTTTGTGGACTATTTTGTATTTTCAGAAACCATCCTAATAGCTACTGCTACCTCAGTTCACACTTAACTTTGAACTCTGTCAGTAAGATAGGTGGAGAAACTAGCTTTCCATTTCATACTGCATATTAGAATGTTTTTAATATTTCAAAATATCAACTTAAAGCAAAATCAATGCTTGCTGCAAATAGAAGTATTTGCCATGGTAGTTACCTGAAAGTATTATTTAAAAACTCAAATTATACATTTGAAATACATTTTTCATGCTTTTTAATATTTCTATTGACCAATGATAATATGTTTGGATCTTTCACAAGTACTTCTGATTAATTTCATGGAAAGAATTTTGAATCTAGTTCTGATTGGCCAGGCATTTTCTGACATCTGTAATTAAAGCAGTTTTCCTAATTAAACATCATGCATCCCAATGGAATACTTTAAATGATGTAAGTTAAAGAATGTTTTATATTGGTTTGTACTGGGGTTTGAACTTAGAGCCTCACATTTGTTTGGCTTGCTGGATGGGCTGGTGCTCTACCATCTGAGCCAGTCTTCCTGCCTAGATTTTTGCTGATGGATTGCAGATAGAGTTTCCCCTGGAATTTTCTGCCTTCAAATCTCAGTCTCAGCCTCTTGAGTAGCTAGAATTACAGGTGTGAGCTCCTAGTGCCCAGAAACAACCAATCCATCAAACTTTTTTTGTGTGTGTGACATATTCCCTGTGTAGTCCAGATTGTCCTCAAACTCTCAACCCTCCTAGGTTGGTCTTCTGAGTGCTGGGATTAAAGATATGCTTTACGACATCCAGCATGTAGTAAATTTTGTTTGTTCCTTTCTTACCCTCTGGGATCCTTATGGGAAATAAGATATATTATAGAATTGTTTCCCCTGAATGTTTTCTGTCTTGCTTTTTAGTTTTCTTTAGGAAAAACTATAACTATGGTAAATAACCTACTCAGCCTCTCTTTCATAGCCAGTTAGTGACCAGGCAGGTCAGTTTCTGATGGTTATTCCTCTCTGCTAAGAAACATGCACAATTTTGATGAAGTTGAAAGTTCAATCCACAGCACTTTGGAGAACCAGAACTAATGATTTACTTGTGGCAGTGTGAAGGAACAAAGTTCCTCAGATTTCTTTACAGGTTTTGTAAATAGCCATTTAATGGAATTTGAGGAAATAGATTCACATCTTACTTCACTCTGGCTGCCTGTCCAGTGTCTTCATCAAACACTTGAAACCTTCCGATTACTTTGCTTTGGGTTGACAGATCCATCCCTTCGCTGGCACGGACTGAAATGGTGCTGGTTTGAAAATGAATGCCTTCCTTCACATTTTGAACCTTTACTTTGATGGGGACAGGTGTAGGCTTATATTTATTCCTAATGGATTTATGAAAAGCTGCTTTATTGGTGACAATGATACTGAAGTCAAGATTCTTCATTTTTTCATAATCAACTTCCTAGAAAGCAAAAGTAAGAGGAATTCTATCAAAAGACAAAGTCCCTAGGGCAGATGCTCAGCCCTGCACACACATGCACCCACAAACACATGCTAACACATATGACTTTCATGTCAGACATGACATGATACTCTGTTAGACTGGCAATGCAAGAGCATTAAATATTACAACCATGGAGTTCCCACCACACAATGAAAGATGCTATCACCTAGGACTCTCACCAATGTTAATGGAACTTAGAAACATTTACAATATATTTTTCTAAAGGTCAAACTCATTTTTAAAAGTATATGTTATCACCCAGGAGCTGGTGGCTAACACATGTATTTCTAGCTCACTGAGGAGCCTGAGAACTGAAGATTAAGATTGGAAATCAGCCAGGGCAGGAAAGTCTGTGAGACTCTCATCTATAATTAACCACCACAAAGCCAGAAGTGGAAGTGTAGCTCAACTGATGGAGTACTAGCCTTCAGCAAAAATACAAGAGAGTGGGGGTGGTGCTGTAAGGTCAAGCCTCTGTACTGGCACAGACACAAAAAAGCATACACTGTCATTTTTAACATTCTAAAGAACTTTCTTTCATAAAACAAAAACTGTGGGCATTCAATGAAAGTTATGCCATACAAGAAGACACAATTCCTTCATATGGACATGTGGTTAGTGGTTTTGACAGTTCTTCCCCCAAGATTGACATTGTGCATTGTTACACTAACTCAACACAAAACTGACAATTCCTGGAGTAACAGGAAAAACTCCAGAGATTTTCCAATCTGTTTAAACCAAGAATCCCTGTTTCCTTTATAGCATGGTGTTTATTAGTATGCTTTGTATTAACACTATAAAATGTTGGCCTTCCAGCCATGGGAAACAAATGTAAAGAGAAAGGAGCAACAAGTGGTAGAGTGCTAGCCTTGAGCTGAAGAGCTGAGGGACAGCGCCCAGGCCCAGAGTTCAGCCCCATGACCGGACCCAAAAAAAAAAAAAAAAAAAGAGAGAAAGGAGCAACCACTCTCATCAACATAAGAAATTAGTTCTAGCTACTTTGTTTTATGAAAGAGCTAAACTTTGGAACAGGAAAAAAATTGTGGTTATGCCAAGTCTTTGGGCTAGTACCCTCATCAGCCAAGTTCCGATGACTAAATGATGACACAGTACAATAATATTCTCCACAAAATTCAATAAATGCTGATGGGCAAAACAAAACTGCCCAAACAAAAAGCTGGTAGCCAATGTCCCAGTGACTCTGGAGTGTAAGAAGCCTTGAATCAGAGACCTTGAGACACAGGGGTGGGGAAGACACTGATTTCCCATCTGCAAGTACAAGGCACAAGCTGAGGGAGCTGTTAAGTTGCTTGCACTCTCCATTAAGTTGTAATGCATTAGTTTGTATCTCAAAATTAAAATGAAATGGTGGCCTTCTGTCAAATAATTCTTTGTACACTGTATTTGTACATATTTTATGTTCTGAATTTTCCCTTTTGTTTTTATAAACATTTTTGCAGTATTCTGCATTTAGGTGCACTTACTTACCTATTCTAAAACTTTGAAATTGGTCCACACACAATTTTTAAATAAAATTAATGTGCCCATGAGAATTAATATACCACTATTTTCCTGTCTTCACCTACATTGTATTACTTAGGAATTACTTAATCAAAGCTTATTTAGGTCTTATTCTCTCATAGCTCTTTATTTCTAATGTCTCTGACTGGACCATTTTTGCTTGGCTCTTCAGGATACCATGAAATACATCCCATATGTTTACATGAATTATAGAAAAACTATTCACTTTTTTTGGATGACTTCTTGTATGATTTTCTTCACTGTAGGGTTCTGTGTGGAAAACAATTTTTCTGCCCCATTATTTTGGGGGAAGAGCTGGTAGTGAGGTTTGAACTCAGGGCCTTAACTTCCTTGGCTCGCATGCTTGTTCAGTTGGTACTCTACTGCTTGAGCCATACCTCCGGCCTGCTGGTGAATTAGAGGTTGAGTCCCACAATTCTGTCTTGGCTGGCCTCAAACAATGATCCTCTGCATCTCAGACTCCTGAGTAGCTAGGATAATAGGTGTGAGCTACAGGCATATGAATATTTGTCCCCTTCTAAGAATGGATCCTTATGATGTTGGGACAAAGATCCAACAGATAATGACTACAGGAAACACTTTTTGTGACTGTCAAAAATGCATAGAAATTCTTTCATATTGCTTTTGCATATGACATGTTTTGATAATCTGGTGAATACTGATGAAAAATTCAGTCTTCCAGACAACTACTATTAGTCCTGAACGGTGAAGAGAATGTGACAAAGTGATGTGGGACTTGGGGCCATATTAATCCTTCCACAGTGCTTGTTATGAACAGCCAACCATGCTCCAAGATTACAATAACAAAAACATTTAGCATTATGAGCAATTGGGCTTTATGACCAAATAATTCTATCTTTAAAAAACACTTCTCAATATGTTTTGTTAAAAAGTTCTGTGGGACTTATGAGATCCAATTGTGTAAGATCCATGTGCTTACTATGAGTATTTAATCCAACTTTTCCTTCTTTGTTTCAATGAAGATCGAGATAATATTTTGTTCTAAAATGTAGCCCTCACAATACTTACGTAAGAATCACTAATGGAGTTTTGCTTAAAACCTAAGGACCGTTAGATTATGCCTGTAATCCTAGTAACTCAGGGGGCTGAGATCTGAGGATTTTTGTTTGACACCAGCCTGGGCAGGAAAGTCCATGATAGTCAACCACCAAAAAGGTGGAAATGGAACTGTAGTTTAAGTGGTAGACTGGTAGCCTTGAGTAACAAAAGCTCAGGGAAAACACTAGAACTCATAGGCATTGGCAGAAACATTTTGAAAAGAGTCCTAGGGGCCCAGCAGATAGGAGAGAGACTTGATAAATGAGATTACATCAAAATAAAAAGGTTCTGCACAACCTAGTTACTAAACTAGAAAGAAAGCCAACAGACTGAGAGATGCAATACATCTGCAAGAGGCCTAATATCTAAAACATACAAGGAGCTCAAGAAATCATTCCTTCCCAAAGCTAATAAACCAATCACAAAATGGGCAAAGGATACGAATGGCAAAGAAACACATGAGGAAATGCTCATCATCCCTCACCATAAAGGAAAGCAAGTCAAAAAACTCTGAGATTCTATTTCACCCAGTTAGATTGACCAACATCATTTGAACAACAAATGTTGGTGGGGATGTAGAGAGAAAGGAACTCTATTGCTTTAGTGGTGGGAATGTAAACTCATATAACCACTGTGGACTGTTTTTGGAGGTTCCTCACTAATCATAGCCATACTACTCCTGGGTATCTACCCAGAACATCAAGCCAGGAGACCATAAAGAAACCTGTACATCTTTGTTCATTGCTACATTATTCACAATAGCCAAATTGTGGAAGCAGCCCAGAAGCCCTACAACAGATAAGTGGTTCTAAAAAAACGTGGTACCTATAAACAGTGGAATTTTATACTACAAAATAATATTTATGGAAATGAACTCCAGGAAATGGAAACAAGAGGGTTTTTTTTCTTTGTTGCTATTTTGTTTGTTTTCCTTTTGTTTTGTTTCTTCATTTATTTGTCTTTGGGAGCGTAAGGGGGGCACAGAAAGGGTGGTATAAAGGGTAAACAAATGCAGCAGTGATACTCACTAGACACTATTGAAAAATGAATGGTAAGGGCTGGGAGTGTAGCTCAGTGGTAGAGTGCTTGTCTAGCAAGGGCAAGGTCCTGGGTTCGATTCCCAGCACCACAAAGAAACCAGAATAAAAAAGGTATTAAAAAATGAACCATACAGCTTGTAGCGATGGGAGGGAAAACTAGGAGAGAAGGAGGGAAGGGGTGACATTGTCCAAAAAGAAATGTACTCTTTATCTGATTTACAGAACTATAATCGCTTTGTAATATTACCTTTATAAGAACAATAACAAATTAAATTAAAAACAAAGAAGAAAAAGAAGCGCAGGAACAGCATCCAGGCCCTGAGTTCAAGTCTCAGGAACAGCATACACACATATAAAAAAAGCTAAGGTTCTAAAACTAGAAGTGTGGTTCAAATGGTAGAGTACTGACCTTGAGCAAAAAAGCCAAGTACAAACACACACACACACTACCCTTAGGCATAGAAAACACTAGATGGTAGTAGGCAATAATGAAGCTGGGAATCCCCCTGTCTGGCTAGGACTCAAGTTTCCCTGAACTTAAAGTGAACTATAGTATAATCACTTATTAACCAGATAGGCAGGGCAAATGGATGCTCCTAGTCACAAAGAGCTGTGGTGATGGACGTGTGTATAAAGCACCTAGATTCTCTCTGCCAGTGACTTGTCCTACTCAGTCCTGAACACTAATGCCTTACCTTAATAAGGGTTACAATCCCTTCGTTGGTTCTCTCATCTGTTTCTATGTGGAAGTAACCCCCCTCATTTCCTGATGCAAAGGTAAAATTTGCCAGCCAGTTATCAGAGCCTATTTCATCTGCATCAGTTACTTTTATACGCATAACTTCCACATTGACTTGGTTTTCTTCCACCACTCCTTCATACTGTAAAAGAGAACATCACAATTTTTATTTTAATGTAATAGCATTAGACTTGTTAGAAATGAACTACACAACTAGGGAGGGGAGGCGTCGGGTGGGGACAAGCTGGGAGAAAATTGAGGGAGGGGGTGACATTTTTCAAACAGACTTTTGTAACTGGAACCCCTCTGTACACCACCTTTACAATGAAAGAATTTAAAAAGACAACAATAACAAAAATTGAACAAACAGGTACAGTTATTATGAAAAAATGAGTTACCATTCCATTTTCTACCACAGGTATATTGTCATTGACATCCAAAATGCGAATCTGAACTTGAGCTTGGGCGACTGGCTTATCTGTGATTTCTCTGTTGCCATCCTTGGCTTCTACTGTCAAAGAATAGCTGCTGTGTTCCTGTGGAGCAATGAAAAATATCCATTTGGAGTTAAAAACCGCACCATTCTTGGCTGGGAAGGTCGCTCAATGGTAGAGTGTTTGCCTTGCATGCATGAAGCCCTGGGTTTGATTCCTCAGCACCACATAAGCGGAAAAAGCTGGAAGTGGCACTGTGGCTCAAGTGGTAGAGTGCTAGCCTTGAGCTGAAGAGCTGAGGGACAGCACTCAGGCCCAGAGTTCAGGCCCCACAACTGACCAAAAAAAATAAAAGCACATTCCTAAATCTGCCTTTTTAGGGCCAGCTCACTTGATCACTAAGAAATAAACAACAGTGCTGGGCACTGATGGCTCAGGCCCATAAGCCTAGTTACTCAGGAGCATGAGATTTAAGAATTGTGGTTCAAAGCCAGCCTGAGCACTAAAGTCCATTAGACTCTGAAGTCCAATTAACCACCAATAAACTAGAAGTAGAGATATTGCTCAAGTGGCAGAGTGCCAGCATAGAGTGAAAAAGGCAGAACCAGAAGCCCTGAGTTCAAGCCTCTGTACCAGCACATGCGTACATGCACTCCTCCACCCCCAAGAAATGACAGTGGGGTATTTATTTGTAAGCAAGTTTTATGACCTGTTGTTACTGGTATGAAATTGCTATTTATTTGGCGTCAGAGCTTTTGTAGAAGGGCAGAAATGAGTAGAGGAATAGTTACAGACAGATTCTCAAACCCATCTTTGGTGGCACTTGTGAGATAACGCTCCTTCACGCTGGCTTCATGAGCACTAATAAAAATGCAGTTTCTTTTACACCAGAAGGAGCAATGAAACTGGAGGAACTGGAGCCATCCTTCATTCTCAGCTAAAAGTGGGTCCAGAAAAACCTGCTTGAAAAAACCCTTGGCCAGGAAGGGCAAAACTTGGTAAATTTTTTTTTCCAGACTCCTCCAAAGGGCTTGCATCTAGGAGATCACCCAGTGGTGTCACTCAAAAGTAGTCTCCTAGGTGTCTTCTTGCTCTGGCTCTTACTTAGTCTGGTTGGAGGTTACAGAACTTGCCAGCCAATGCCAGCATGTGTGGATGCTGTGTGGGCACAACCACCCCATGGACAGAAGACAGCTGGGGCTCAGAGCTGTGTTTGTGCTCCAGTTCTGCCGTTAATCACTTACTAGCTGGTTTGAGCACACACTTAATCCCACTGACCCTCAGCTTCCTTCTGTGTAAGAGGGTGATAACCGGATTGGCCTCACAGAGTTTCTGCATGGATTAGATGAGTTAATCCATGTAAAGGGCTTAGGACAGCAACCTGGCCCATGGAAAATGCCAAAGAGTGACAGCCATTGTTATCCGCTAAGCTTCCCTCGTGCCAGAGACAAGCAGTGTGTGAAAAGCCACACTACTAAGTCATTGCAATATTTTCCTATTCAAATGTTACATGAAAAGATGTAGGGTCAAATGTTAGGAGTAATAACTTGATTTAAAAATTCTATAAAGAAGCTGGTGTTGGAAGTGGCACTGTAGCTCAAGTGGTAGAGCGCTCGCCTTGAGCTGAAGATCTGAGGGACAGCGCCCAGGCCCAGAGTTCAAGCCCCACGACCGACAAAACAAAAGAAGCTGGTGCTGGTGGCTCACGCCTGTAATCCTAGCTACTCAGGGGGCTGAGATCTGAGGATTGAAGTTCGAAGCTAGCCTGTGCAGAAAATGCCATGAGACTCCAATAAACTACTCAAAAAAGGCTGGAAGTGGCACTGTGGCTCAAGTGGTAGAGAACTTGCCTTGAGCGAAAGAAGCTCAGGGACAATGCCCAGGCCCAGAGTTCAAGCCCCATGATGGGATTGAACTATCTACAAAGATATCAGTAAGAATGGTGTTGACCACCACCCTCATTTAATTTGTTAATTTCTTGAGTATGATACTATGCCCCCGGCTGGTGACTTTGATCCAATGACTATAGTGTATTCCTAGATCACCAATGTTTTGCCTTATTATGCTATTTAAAACTTTCATCTATCTTCCTTTTATATTAAGAAAATTGAGTTAGAAATAAATGTTTGAGAAAAAGAGTTTTTCTAGGAAAGCTACTCAAAATTGCTGTAATTTGAGATTTAAAAGAGCATTACACTATAAGATTCCTACTTCAGCCCCTTCTTTATGCCATGAGCCCCCTCTGGTATAGTTATTAGTGGTGGAAGAGTGGAAGACACATGTCATTAGAGAACCACAAACCTAGGAACACAGCTTTGAAACTGAATAAGCATAATCCAAAGTGAAGTGACACCAAATGGTGCTATCTTCATGAATTTTCATTCTAAAAACTACATTAAATTTAAAAAGTGCTATTAGTTTTAAACAAGTATACTTTAATCAACACATGCTACCCTACATACTTTTATTTGAAGCTTTAAGCCACGGAAAAACCATTAAGGTGATGCTTTATAAATCTCTCTTCCAGGCTAACTCTCCTAAATCAGGTGCATATTTTACACTTCATCTGCACTCAGCATACCTCAATGTGGACTAGCTACATATGTGACTCGTAGCCTCATATAACTACTATCATGATGGATAGCACATCTCTAAAAGACCATGCTGCTTAATATGATCTCTGATTGAGGGATACGGAACAAAATAAAACTAGAAATAAAAAATAAAGAATGGGAAATTTAGCCAGGACCTAGTTTCTCATGCCTGTAATCCTAGCTGTTCAGGAGGCTAAGATTTGGAGGATTGCACTTCAAAACCAGCCTGGGCAGAAAAGTCTGAGAGATTCCATCTCTAAAATAACCAAAAAAGCCAGGCTGGAAGTACAGCTTATTTAGTAGAGAGCCAGCTGAAAGAGCAAGCTGAACAAGCATGAAATCCTGTACTCAAACCTTAATCCCAGCAAGCAAACAAACACACATACACACAAACACACACACAGAGTGTAGAGACTAGAAGCATCTAGGAAGTTTCCAAGAGGAGAGACAGAAAACACTAATTTACCTCTCTGTCCAAAGTAATACTGGTTGTATAAATTTCTCCGGTATCTTTATTTAGGTGGAACACTGGGGGATAGGCGGGCTCCTGAGATACGATTCTGTAGGAAATTTTGGAATTCATTGTGTTGGGCTCATCTGCATCGGTGGCGGTGATTTTCATCACCAGTGTATCTGGCGTTAGAAGGAAAGGGGGGGGTAAGCCCATTAATATCTGTCCTTATTTCAGTTATGATTTCAGCTTAAAAGGACATTAGGTCCTCATCAAAATCACAGTTCATCATGATGACAAATTTTAACTGGATGAGGAAGTGTGATGAGAGTATGAAAGGAAGAAAATAGGATGAAGGCATGCCTGAGGATGAGGGAAGTCCTCAAGGATTGCTAGAGAAGCACCGTAGAAAGATGCATGAGCAGTACATAATCCTAATGCTTATCCAAATAAAAACGATTCATGAGTATAGTAATTCTTTTCATTAGAGCCAAAGAGAAATCTCTCCAGCTCATATATAACAGTGTGTTGTTATATAGAAATGTGGTCAATACACATTAGTTACAATAAAAGTGAGAGCCGCTGGGCCCTGGTGGCGCATGCCTATAATCCTAGCCACTCAGGAGATGGAGATTTGAAGTCAACAGTGGCAGGAAAACCTTCCAGACTCCATCTCCAAAATAACCAGCAAAAAGCCAAGCTGGAGGCATGGCTCAGGTGGTAGAGTGTCAGCCCAACATCCAAGCCCAGTAAGCATAAGGCCATAAGGTCAAACACTGGTTTCTTCAAATATATATCTACTTTTTTTGTCCCAGAACTAGGCAGCCAACTTGCTTTTGTTCCTATGGTTTTGCTGGAACACAGCCACCCCCATTTATTTTTATTGTATCTATGGCTAGTTTTCTTCCACAGGACAGATTCGGGCTGTTGCTATGGAGACTTTACTTCTGCAGGAATTTACCAACTCTTCCCAAGGTAAAAAAAATACAATGTTTAAAGTCCTCTGAAGTTGTTATTAAAATATCAATTTTGAACCTAGAGAAGTAGGTTTATGATTTGTCTTGTGGGTAATACTCAATTTGTTGTATGATATAGAATTTTATGTTTATTTACCTACTGGAGAAAAATGACCTGGGATGCTCATTCATGAAAAACAATTCAAGTATTGCTTACGTGCTACACTCAGTTCTTCAACAGAGCCAACAAAGACCTCCTGTGTGAACACTGGCTCATTGTCATTGATGTCAAGAACTTTAATGCGTAGGTCTAATGGTTTCTCAAGGTTGTTTCCTTTCACATCCAAAGCATAACCTGTTAGCTAAAGTCAACATAAGAAAATGAGTAAGATTGGTTGAATCACTATGCAATTGCTTTAGTATATAAAGTAAGGACAGACACCAGGGGACAGGGAGATGAGAGATGGTCATGGGAGATGAATATTATCGAAGTATATCTGGATTCATTATTCTGTATAATGAATATAAACACATATTCCTATGGAAACTCTACCCTTTCTTAAAACCAATCTGAGCTGTCATCAAAGCAAAGCGATAGACAGAGTTCAAAGTGTTCTTACCAGAAAAAATGGTGTTTCTTCTCGATCTAGAATTCTGGTAACGTTCAAGTCTCCAGTGTCTTTATTAAAAACAAATATACCAAAAGGTGGCTCTGTAATTCCTTTGCCAGTGTATCTGTAGGTAATTTTCAGTCCTCTTTCTTCAGCCAGATCAGAATGTATCTACAATTAAAGTACCAGGAATGCCTCGTGTTAAATTCTTCCATAATTCACATGTCAATACTTTTATGGACAGCTTCCCTCTGAGACTGTCGCTGTGGCTGACAGGAAGGAAATGACAAAGACCTGTGCTCCTATCAGGGGGCCTGGGTTCTAATCCTGTCTCAGCAATACTTCTTACTTATGTGACACACAGTTAGTGACCCAATTTCCCTGTGCTTCAGTGTTCTGATCTGTAAAGTGGAGAGTGTTCTTAACTTTTAGGGTTATTATAAAACTAAGATACAGTTGGGGTACATGTCTTGGGAGATCCAAAGCATATTTAATTAACTTATTTAATTGTAGTATTGTGGATCAAACCTTAATCCTCATCCATGTTAAGCAAGCACTCATCACCGAGTTAACTCTCCAGCAACAAGGGAGTAGATTATAGACGTAGAGCATATAGTAAAAACTTCAAAGGCAAAATTCGCTTAGGCAAAATTAGCTTCTTAAAATCTATCCTATCATCTGGAAAGCAGTTGTAACAAAGTGAAGTACCTTGTCGGGGAAACGCTTCAACAAATCACCAATACTTCTAAGCTGCAGGATCTTCAAATTCAGTGTTATAGGGAAACCTACTGAATGATGTGAATGAACAACTCAAAACTTAAAGGGCAAGAGAGAAGGAAAGAAAGAACAAGAGAGAAGGAAAGAAAGAAGAAAGAGCTAAAATAAAGGACAGGTGCATGCAATAGGTTTACTATTTTGTGAACCTATATTAAAAAGAGTGGATTTTAGAAGTTCCTTTTTTAAAAAAAACTGTTGTTTTAAAAAAAAGAAACTTAAGGGCTGGGAAGATGGCTCAGTGGTAGAGTGCTTGCCTAGCACACATGAGGCCCTGGGTTCGATTCCTTAGTGCCACATAAACAAAAAAATGATTACTGTAAAAAAGAAACTTAAAAAAAAATTATCCCTTCCCTCAGGAGAAAAAGGAGGGGGTAACAATACTCGACAAGAAATGTACTTACTCATGTAACTGTAACCCCTCTGCACATCTTTACAATACAATAAAACTTAAAAAAATCCTAAACAAATGTAAGAATAGACCATCATAATTCTGGTACAAGACTGTAGCATGTAATAGTCAATATCAATTGTTAACTTAATTGGATTGAGAAAAGCCACACACCTCTGGGTGTGTCTGTGAGAATATTTCCAGAGACAATTAAATAGAGTTTTGACTTTCGTGAATGATTTAATCCATTGGTAGATCCAAAATCTGAATAAATTATTAGGAGGTAACAGGACTGGGGACAGGGGAGCCTGGTTGGAGGAAGTAAGTGGGCCACAGGGATCCTGTCATTGGTCTATATCTTTCCCTGTCCTCTTCCTGTAAGCAGCACTGTTCTGCTTTCAGTCCAATGTAATATAAGCTGTTTTACCATACTCTTCCCACCATAAGCAAAATACACCTTTCCATATTTTCATAAGTGAATAGACAAAGGTCAAAGTTGGATATAAACCAATATGCAGTCACACAGATACAACCCAGTCACACCAATGTTTACTGAGCAGCTACCATACACTGGCATTGTGCAGGGCACAGGTTCCAAGGACTAAGTCCTGCTCTCCCAGATCTACAGTACTGAAGAAGACAATCAGCTCAACACAATGCATGATACAATGTCGAGTAGTCAAATGTGCTACCAAACAAACTTATGCAGAGTAAGGGTACAGGGAGAAATGGAGCAAGGCAGAGAGCAGGAGGTGGCACTTGAGCAGATGTCTGATGTGATGCGCTGCACATACCTGTGAGTGGATTCCTGGCAGAGAGAGGGAAAAGCCAACACAAGGACACAATGTGGGGTGTGTGTGTGTGTGTGTGTGTGTGTGTGTGTGTGTGTGTGTGTGTGTGTGTGTGTGTGTGTGTAACGAGCTGCTGCGCTCATTTCAGGGGATGTAGCAGAGTAGGGGTAAGAAGAGACATTTGCTAAGGACAGAAAGGAGGCCAAGGTCACTGAATCTCTTGAGTTTTCATAGGCCAGTGGAGGGGAGTCCATTGCGTTACAGCAAGGAGCCACTCAAAGGGTCTCCACTAAGGAGATGAACAAGCTTCAAATTGTCCTTTCAAAGGCTTACTGGCTAATTTCTGGAGAATGACTGTGGGGGAGGGGCTGGCAGGTGTGTCCAGGAGTGCACGACAAGGTAGAGGGGGAAAGGAGGAAGGTAACAAGGACCTGGACCAGGGGTTGGCAGAGGCTGAAGACAAGCAGGTCGGCTGGACTATGTATACGTATTTGGTTCAACTGATAGTACTTGCTACCCTTTGGGATTGAAAAACAGGATAGAATTATAGTGTCATTTCTAGAAATTGGCATAACTTAGGCAGAGTAGCTTTAGGGGAGGTAAGTCAAGGATTCTGTCTTGTGCTTGCTAAGATAAATAGCACTAACTACATAATTTATATTAAGAAACTGGACCTTTTGGAGTGACAAGGAGTTAATAAGTTATTTATCTAGGACAATGGGCACATACCAGGGCTGTCCCTTGAAAATATTAAATACTGGTTGTTGTCATTTTGACAATAACTTATACAAAAATACACTCTTTTGAGACACTCTGTTAAACTAAGATTAAACCAATGTTAGCTCCCTTAACTCCTAATAGGAACAAAGCAAAGTTATACGTGTGTGTGTGTGTGTGTGTGTGTGTGTGTGTGTGTGTGTGTGTAATAAAACCTGTCAATGATGCTGGCTTGCAAAGAATGAGAAAGAAGATCTTTAAGTTGGCACATCTGCTAAAAGGCAAGTTTGGCTTATGTTTAATGCATCCAGAATATTGAAGAATTCTGCAATTACATTAATTAATAAAATGGACATGCAAGCTGTCTCATGTTCAACCATGCACCTTAGATGTGTATGTTCTGCTTTAGAAGGTACCTTGGCAATTGGATTCTTTCTGGAGAGATCCTCTCCCTCCCGAAGAGCGACGGGGGCAGTGATCCAGGCTCGCTTTTGCCGCACTAGCGTGTGTTTAGGAGACAACTTATTCCCACTTCTTGTGTTTAAGATCTGTAACAACATAATATTGCCAACTATCATATAATTTATGGAATTTTAAAAACAGTGCAAATTTTTTTGTTTGGTTTTTGGTTGGTTATGGGGCTTGAACTCAAGAGCCTGAATGCTGTCCCTGAATTTTTCTGCTCAAGGCTAGTGCTTCCAGTTTTCTGGTGGTTAGCGGAAGACAGGAGTCTCACAGACTTTCCTGCCCAGGCTGGCTTGGGACCACAATCCTCAGATCTCAGTAGCTAGGATTACAGGCGTGAGCCACCAGTGCCTAGCGTTAGTGTACTTTTTAAGGCATATTTAAAAAAAAATTTGACCAGAGAACTTGAACTTTGGACCTTATTCTCTTGCTTGACTTTCTTGCTCACAGCTGGTACTCTACCACTTGAATCTATCTCTAGTCCTGCTTTTTGCTGGCTATTTATAAGATGGACTCTTGCAAACTTTTCTCCCTAGGATGACTTTGAATTTCAATCCTCAGGTCTCAGACTCCTGAGCAGTTAGGATTTTAGCCACTGACAGCCATCTATGCTTAATATTTTCAAAAAGCTTTATATTCAAAGAGGAATTCTAGTAAACTCTACAGACATTCAAAATATCATCCTCAAATTTGTAAAGAATTAGAGTTTTGTTTTCCACAGTAACAATAGATTTCCCAGAGTGAAGAGTTTGAAAGTTAATTTAGTAACTTAGCAACCTTACAAACTGGCAAGAGAGGAGTAATAATCCATGTAATTTTTTTCTTACTTTGCTATGATGTTTTAAAAATAAGTTGCTACATGTTTTAAGTCTAAACCTCAGCAAACTTAAGATAAACATGACCTACAATGGCACAACTGCCAGTTCACACATTTTTGTTTTGAGGATTGCATAAAGGATTAAATTTCCATTTCTTGTTTTCAGAACCTCAGGAGAAAAATATTCTGTGTATGTTTAGTTGGGTTTCATGGATGAATACATACATATTTTATCCAAGAGACAAAAACCTAGCTGATCTGGTATCTTAAGATCAGAAGTGATTATTATACCAGGTTCATTTTTACCATTTTATTTCATTTTGTTGTAGATATATTCTTATTGCAAAGTATTTACCCTGGTTATCCCTAAGTCACTGACTTTGCTTTTATTTGAATTTTTTCTTAACTTGAAAATATACATCAGGAGAGAATGCAGCATAAACTTCAATGCACATCTTACACAATTAAGAAATTGAGTGACGGGATAGGGTCGGTAGGAATGGGGGAGAATGTTAAAAGGGAGACACTGATCAAGATTCATTGTGTTCATAAATGAATCTGTTCAGTGTCAACTCCTTTATATACCTACTTAAAGACAATTGTAAAAGAAATACTCCTTCCCCCAAAATGTAAATCCTAGCCAGGAGGCTGAGCTCTGGAAGACAGAAGTTCAAAGGCAGACCAAAAGAAAAATATGAGAGACTCTGTCTCCAAAGTAACCAGCAAAAAGAAGAGTGGGAGAGATGTTTCAAGTGGTAGAGCATCAGCCATGGAGAAGCAGTTCAAGCAAGCTTGAGTATCTGAGTTCAAACCCCACTACCAGTAATAAAAGAAAGCCACCAAGGACATACATAAAAAAAATCACAAATAACATAAAAACTTACAATGGAAGAATTAAAAAGGTAAAACTTCATTTTGTATAAATTCTCTAGAGAATATCCATTGCTCCAATTGTCTAAGTATATTTTACAACCTTCGTTACTGTGTAGTAGTACCCACGGATAAAGGTCATTTCCTAGGAAACAGGACATTAAACATTCTTGGACTATGTATCTCTGTACTTGTTCAAAGAGAAATGGCTAAGCCAAACTGTCACCCTGAAATAAATAAGCCTTTGAGTCTCAAGGATGAAATGATTCCCTTTGGAGGACTCCTTACCTCCAGGTGAAGTCCATGTCCAAAGTCCAAGCAGATCTGTAAGATAAAATTACAGACATAACAACAGAAGTTCCACCAATACTACTATCCATTGGCAAAAGAAATAAAAATATCATTTCTCCCTTTGTCCTTTCTACAGATCCGGGCTAGAGGAAGATGCTACATTCTCCTTGGTCTGCACTGCTTCCATCTTAAAACAACTGGCACCATAAAAACCCAAACCAAAAATATGCCCCGAGAAACCTCAGCCATTTCCTGACTGTTTCCCCTTCATCCTATAGTTTTTTGACACAGGTTTTTCTGGGACGCACTTACCTTTCCTCAAAGACCATGAGTATGAGCTGATTCTCCCATCTCAGTCCTTAAAAGAGGACTCCCTGTCTCTGTCTCTGTTTCTGTCTGTCTGTCTGTCTCTCTCTCTCTCTCACACACACATACACACACACACACACCTGCCCATGTTCTGCCTTCTCAGTTGCTCAGTACGATCAGTTCCATTAACTCTTTTTCTTCACAGGCACCATTAAACAGCAGTATACTACAGTCAGTTGTTTCTTCTCAATCGGTCCATCAATTCCCACCCTGCTTTCTGAATAGTGCTGCAACTGCTTTCCAGACCAGTAATCCCCTGCTGCCTTTCCTCATCTCCTAGTACTTTCCAATGTGATCGTCACACGTGGTACCTTAGGTGAATGCTACTTGAAGACAGTGACACAGCTGCTCAGTAGCCATATGTAGCTAGTGGTTGCTGTATGGCCAGTGCAGTTGGAGACCAGCAGACTGATTTGACAGCTGTTTTTAAGAGGTAGCCAATGACAATTAGGGACCCTTCATTTTCGTGGCTCTCATTCCTGCCTCATTGTCCCAGTGACACTGCCACCTGATTATTCTCATTGATTCCCTTCCTGCCCTGGCACCACTAAGGCCAACTTCACAGGCAAGAGCAGCTATGTAGTAGCTGCCTCCCACCTCCCTCTACACAGTGCTTTTACTGGCCTCGCAGGTTAACCTCCTGAGACTCTTTTCAGTCAGTTGCCCTTCCTTCCACGATCAGGTTGAGGCCCTGGTTCCTTGCCAAGGTTAACCCCCATGTATGATTTGCTTTCAGCTCCCCAACTTGTTTTTCCACATGTACCATTTTATAAGAACCTCGGTCCTTCCTTCCTTGGCTAATCAAATGTTAATGTCTTTGCCATCAGCCAACTAAAACATACTTAGGCTGTATTTTTGGTAAAGGCACCAGAGCTGAAAGTCTGTTTTGGTCACATTCTATCAGGGGTACATAATATCCACATGACATCAATGATTAAGGATGTATCTGCAGTCTTTTTCCCCTGTGAAGCTACCTCCTTCCTCTTACTCCTGTTTAATCTTTGGAAGTAAATCAGTCTCTTGCCATCTTCAGGGCAGAGGAAAGAATTAAGCGCCATCTGCTGGAAGGTAGATGTCTGCACATACTTACAAGATTTCCCTCCTCTCCTTCTCTCCTTTCCTCTCCTCCCTCCTTTCTTTCCTTCTTCCCTCCTTCCCTCTCACCTGCCTCCTTGTTTCCTTCCTTCCTTCTATTTATTTTTTATTTAAATTAACATGGTCTCTTATATATGATCTTATTCTACAGTATATCCTAATACTATTGGATCATATTTTTCAAATTGCTTCATCTTTGGTCTTTTGGTGATACTAATTTTTTGCCATGTTCCCATCTCTTTATTTGCTAGCATTTCCTTATCCCCAGCATTACAAGATTTTCTAGGCTTATCTTCACTGCCCTCTTCCAGCCTTGGAATCAGCCATTTCTCAAGGAAGTTCTGGTTTCTCCAGAGAATGACATTGAAAAGCCAAGACCTGGAACCAGATTTAGCACATTTGTGATCAAAACTTTCCAGCGTCAGGCAGGATATATTCAGGGAAAGTCAGGTAAGAGGTTTCTTATATTTAACCCTAAAGATTCTGGTTTAATTTTCTTTGTGAAGCAATATCATCTAGTGGAAAGTGTATAGCTTTCAAAATAATCACACGTTGGTCCAAACACTGACAAAGTTCCCTTTATCATCTATAACCTGATAATTAAGAATACAAAAGGTGGTAGATACTTCTAACTAACTACAGTCTAACTAATTGTCATCGCTTCTCAGCTTCAGGATTCACAGAATCCATTTTATTCAGATCTCAAGGAGTCCCTGATGGTATGTGATACATGGTGACATTACCTTTGATGGTGGCTGCATTAGGCAGATACATGTGAATGTTTTGGCTAGTGAGGTATCAGGAAGTCTGCTCACTGATTAGCCTCTATTTTAATTTTAACCCACTATGGGGATGGATGGGCAATGATGGAATGGTTATTGCTATCTTAGGGCAAAGAGATGAAAATGAACAAAATGTAGAGCAGCCAAACTGAATTATGACCTCTCAATTTTCATTTGTATTTTAAACAGGCTCTTGCTATATATCCCAAGTTCACCTCAAACATGAGAGTCTTCCCAAGTGCTGGAATTACAGACATGCATCACCATGCTTGGAGACAATCAGCACTGTCAAACCAGCTCATAGAAGGGAGATGTATGCTACTAAAACCTAGTGGGTTAAGACCAGAGATGTTGTCAGTCCCGTGTAATGCACAGGACAGCCCCACAAAGCTAATGTTTGCTGGCTCCACATGGAGAAGAACTGAGGATGAGAAAGCTTGAGAATGTTTCTCTGACTAAATTTACTTTAATAACTAGAGTGTGATAGATTGACAAATTTCAGAAGACCATGGAGATTGTGGACTTTACCAAAATGGTAGCCTAATGCAGAAATAGCTCACGATTGTTCTTTTGTCCTTTCTTCCCTCCCTCCTTTTTATCGCTCCTTTTCTGTGTGTGTGTGTGTGTGTGTGTGTGTGTGTGTGTGTGTGTGTGTGTGTGTGTGTGCCGGTATTGGTACTGGAGCTTTTTCATGCAGGGCTGGCATTCTACCACTTGAGTTACACTCCCATTTCCTGCTGGTTAATTAGAGATACTAGTCTCAGACTTTTTGGCCCTGGCTGGTTTCAAATGGTGATCTTCAGATCTCAGTCTGCTGAGTAGCTAGGGTTATAGGTGTATCCGGCTTTCTTTTCTTTTTTAAAAAGACTGTAATTGTACAGAGGGATTACAGTTACATAATTACGGTAATGAGTGTTACCCTCTTCCTTGTTTTCTCCTGCTTTCCCCACCCTCCCGAGTCCCTTCCCCTCAAGTTGTACAGTTCATTTCCAACATAGTGTCTAGTGAGTATCGCTGCTACATTGGTTCCCTCTTTGCCCCACTGTTTCTGTGATTCCTTTTCCCTTCTCCAAATCAGATAAACGTATAGACAAGACAAAGGGGAAGCAAATAAAAAAATACAGTGACATGGACAATAAACCAAAGGAAAAAAATGAAAGAAAAAAGAAATAACTGTAAACAGTACACTAAAAAAACACCCACTAAAACACCTCTTGTTTCTATATCTTGGAGTTCATTTCAATTATTATCATTTTATATGATCATATGTACATAGTGAGCTATTGTGTGCCTAGGACTATCCTAGGCAAATACTATTACAAATGAGGGAAACAAATGGAGCATCAGAAAGCATGACATCACCCCATTCATAGGGAAATGGAAAGACTTGGAAAAAAATGATATTAAATGAAGTAAGTCAGACCCAAAGAAACATAGGCTCGCCCTTCCTTCCTTCCTTCCTTCATTTTCTTTCTTTCTCTTTCTTTTTACCGTGCTGACCCAGAACATGTACATTCGAGGTAAGTGCTCTACCACTGAGCCACATCCCCAGTCCACCTCAGGTGAACGTGGGTGACCTTGGGATGTAGTAAAAGTGTTAGAAGGGTGTCTGGTCAAAATGTCTGGTATGATTTTTCCTACGCACAAAAAATCTATAATTCTTCTGCTTCTCACAAGGGAAACAAAAAAGGTCATATACCTCCTGCTTGAAGAGGAAAAGTAAACTTCTAGTTCCTGCATCCAAAGTCGTTTCAAATGAATCAGAAAAATCCTTTAAAAGTTTTCCCAACTTCTCTCCCTTTATGATTTTTTTTTAAAAGAGAACTTAATTTCTATGGCAAGATCTTGTGCATCGTGGAGAAACCAGCCTTCTTGATTAATAAAAACAAAACAAAACAGAACAGGTCTTCTTTGGCAGAGGTATGAGGGAAGGGGTCAGATATCACTGCAAAACCCAATCAATCAATGTAGCCTTTGCTCTCTTGGATCACTTGCACTTTTGGCAAGTATTTGCGGTTTTGAAGTTACTTTAAATAGTTTTAGAAGCAGAATCTGGAGGAATGCTGGAGGACAGTTTCTCCTGACTGACCTTGAAATGTTTCTCAGTGGTCCTAAGATGCCCTGGGGAGGGGACCCTACAGCGTTAGGATCTCACACTAAGATATTGTACCTCCCTGCAGATGAGAGGTGGAGGGACACAGAGAAGTTTAAAATCCTGCTTCAACTATGAGGCCCTGTACTGGCCTGTTCCTTTTATGTAACCAGAAATAACTTCATAAAGGACACAGGTATGGTTAAGGGAAGATTGTTGGGTCTTAATTAGAGAAGACTTAGTACATGCTGCTTGCTCGTGTGTGTGTGTGTGTGTGCGCACACGCGTGTGTGTGTGTGTGTGTGTGCGTGTGTGTGTGTGCGTGTGTGTGTGTGTGTGTGTGTGTGTGTGTCTGTGTGTACTGGGGCTTGAACTCGGGGCCTCAAGTTTTCACCTGCATTTTTTTTGTTTAAGGCTGGCACTCTACTATGTCCATTTCCAACTTTTTGGAGGTCAATTGGAGATAAGAGTTTCATAGACTTTCTTGTTAGGATGGCTTTAAATCACAATCCTTAGATTTCAGCCTCCTGAGTAGCTAGGATTATAAGCATGAGCCACTGGCATCTGGTTATGATGGTTGTTCTTTAAAAGCAGACACCAGACCATTGTGTAACACCTGAGTATGTCTCTTTTATAACCATCCTCTGACTAGGTAGAATATTTTGTCATTCTTTGTCCCTCTGTCTCTGCACAAA